TCACTTGCGATAAAGAGTGTAAAACATTTTTTCTTGCTTAAAATTATCATAAAAAGAAAATTTTTAACAAAACGGACACAATCAGAAGAGAGTTTTTTTCCATTTTTCTAATTTCTTACTATTGGTTAATATTGATTTTGTTAATATAGATAATAAAATATAATTGATATTGGTTGTTATTATAGTAGTTATTATTATTGTTATATTAAAAAATTAAGTTAAATTGATTTAGTTTTTGTTTTAATGTTTTGATGAAATTTGATTAAATAATTAAAAGTAATAATTATTTAAAGAGAATAAACTAACTTCAATTTTTTAAACAAAAAGTTTTGAAAATTTTAAAATAATTCAGTAAATATTACTATAATAGAATTATATATAAAAATTATATTAAAACAAATAGTAGATTTAATAATTTTGTTTAAATATGTTTTTTGAAAAATATTTGATTTAATATATACTGTATATAATAATATTAATATAAATGATTTTTATAATATGAGTTGATATATAGTAAAACCATATTTTAAGACAAAATCCTTATTTGGAGATATAACGATTATCAATTTAAATTTATATATTGAGCCATATAAAATTAAAAAACTGCACACAAGACTGTATCAAATTATAATATATTAATATATATTCAAACTTTTATTACAGATAAAGAACATTCTTGAAAGTATAATTTACTAAAAATTTCAATTTTTGTTAAAACCTTTCAAAGTATGATTTTGCTGTATACCAACCCATATAATAGATAAAAGATACAAAAAAATAAAATAAAAGAAAATTATTATGAATTTTTTTTTATATAACCAAAAGATAAACAAAATTTTCAAACTTGAATAAATTTCAATCAAAGATTTCATTCTATTGCATTAGTTGTCTTGAAGATTTTTGAATTTCTAAGTTAAAACTTACTTGTAATAAAAAGTATAAATATAATCAAAAAAAAATCAAATAATTAATAATATAAATAGCATGATTTTAATACTAAGAATTCAAGAATTATGTAAAAGATTAAGATTTAAGTTTATTAGAAATAAAAATTTTTTTATTTCAATTATCCTAAACATTGAATTTTTATTGGATCGATCGCTCGACCAATTGGGATGGATCAAAATCTGTTTGTATCGGAAAATTTAAATTGTTAAATTGAACTGCCGCGATAATATATATCATTGTTCCAATGAAACAAATTCGGGGTGAACTAGCCGGATTGAAATATTAAACAAAAGAAAACCAAGTTAGTCACGTGAAATTATGGGTTAATAGCGCGTGTTCGGAGTATAAACTTCTAGGTTCCTGTCATATCTATATTAGAGAAAGTATTGAGTCCTCGATTGTGTTGAGCTTCTTCATTGACGAACTTTGCCTAGGGACATATAGTTTAAGGCCTTCCAAGATTATAAAAAAAAAGATAGTATATAATGGATTCGGGTCTACTTACAAGAGGTAAACAAAGTGTAGGCCCTAACTCTGGTCGCCGTCGCAACAATCTCCCGACTCGTCTAGATATTCCGACAAATTCCCTTACTCCTTCCTCTTCAGCGCCGTCCTCCCTTTCTCCACTCATCGTCCCAATTCCAACTTCTTCAAGCTCTTCGAATGCATCTCAACAACAAAAATTGACTACTGAACTCATCACTGCTATGGGAAGGACGACCCCACAGCCTTACGACGAGGACGGTTATGGTTCCTTGGGAGATGAGATTAATGCATCCTCACTGGAGGGAGTGAATTTTCCAACAATTATTCCAGAGTACTTAGAAGACTTGGGAAGGCTAGGCGAAGGCGCGGGTGGTACGGTGACTAAAGTTCTATATAAAAAAACAAATACCTTGATGGCAAAAAAGGTATGCATAAAAATGCTAGTTTATTTATTTTTTTTTCTAAGTCATGATTCATAAGGTCTTCGAGCATCAAAGCTAAGTAATAAATCTAACCCATATTAGAAAATTAATGTTGACCCGACCATATGTCGACAAATTCTTCGTGAGCTCGAATTTATTAGAAAATGTCATTCACCAAACATTGTCTCATATTACGGTGCATTTATGGAAGACGATAATTCTTCAATTGCTATTTGCATGGAATTTTGTGAAGGGGGAAGTCTAGATTCAATTTATAAGAATGTTAGCAGAAGACAAGGAAGAATTGGCGAGTCAATATTGGGCAAGATCGCTGAATCGGTAATCAAATGTTTTACATTTTCTAATAACCATAAATGTGTTTATATCACTGCCTTTACTAACTTATCATCATATTAGGTGTTGAAAGGGTTGGTCTATCTCTATAGTCAGCAAATTATTCACAGAGGTAGGCTAGTCATACTTTGAGATTCAAGATTCTGATAAAAATTTGGTCTTTTTATTTTGATAAATAATAATTTTTCAATAGATATAAAACCATCAAACATTCTGGTTACTAGGAAAGGAGAGATAAAAATATGCGATTTTGGGGTATCAGGAAAACTGGTTCAATCAGTGGCGGAAACATTCTTGGGAACTAGTTATTACATGGCTGTAAGTGAACATTTGTGTATAACAGGATTTCGAAGTTAGACGACGACATTGAAATTGACAAATTTTTTAGCCCGAAAGGATTCGGGGTCAACCATACAAGGTATCTGCCGATGTTTGGTCCTTAGGGCTAACCATAATGGAAGTCGCACAGAATCGATTCCCATTTCCTACAGTTGCGCCAATTGAATTGGTTGCACATATTGCGAATCTACCCGCGCCCGAACTAAGTAATGAGCATAAGTGGAGTAATGAACTAAAAGATTTTTTAAAAGTTTGGTAAGCTAATATCTTGTAAGTCTATAGCACACAACAAATTGAATCTGAAAGTTAAGAATTGAATCTGGTTTTATGTAAAGCTTGGAGAAGGACGGGGAAAAGCGACCCACACCGAAACAAATGCTCGACCATCCATTTATTCAAAAGTCATCCCAACGACATGTACCTTTAGATCGATGGATCAAGGAAGTTTGGGAATGGGAAGATTAAAAAAAGACAGTTCTTTATTGGCAAAGTGTCATGCAAAAGCCTTTGCATATCAGAAAAATTTTTGAAATCATATCATTCTAATTATTGGAAAGTAATCAATTCATGTTTGTATCTTAATATCTTTCGCATAATGGTATATTATATCTTTTTTGTAAGCAAATGTACCTTGGATAATGTTTTTTCTGTATAAAAAATCCATTGGTTGTATATCAATATGGCATTTGTTGATAAAGTTTTATTTCACGAAGTAGCAATTATTACAATTTGGATTGTCAATGTCCGCAATTTTGGATAGATATTTGTCATTACATCTATCATAGCATTTAGCGAAGGTTCCCATTGTTATTGTTGAGTTAGCTTTCCTCTTTGTCAGGAACTTTCTCTTCATTGCCTGAAATTGATTTATCATGTTCCGAAATTTCATCAACATTTTTCAGGACAGTTTCATTTGGTGGAGGTTTTTCAAGGTTACCACTCTCAATTGGTCCTTGTTTGGTGCCCTCACCAGATTGTTGGTTCAGGTGATAGGGTTGAATGATGGATGTTGACGCTGTGATGTTAGAATCGAAAGGAACAAATGTGGATGGTACCGCATCCGAATCATCAGCGTTTAACTGCGGGGATACTGGGTCAGATGTGAAACCAAGAAGCGGAAATGAAGACAGCTTCCACATTGATTCAAAGTTTTTCCTGAGAGGTTGATGTTTATGCGTTTTTGGAATTCTATGCAGATATCTTGATTATGCGAAGTTTCGAATATTATTTAAACAGTAAAAATTTCGCGAAAAAAACGAAAAAAAAAACGAAAAAAAAACACACCCGTAACCAACTCCACATCCCAAAGATCCTTCACCACCCCATTCTTGATTGGGTACAATGATGACCTAAAATAACAATCCATCAGTTGAATGACCATGGAAGTTAATACAGAAACCTGAGATTTTGATTTTTTACAAACCTCTCGGCAAACATCAAAATTTGAATTATACACGTAAAGACGAAGGGGCTTTCCTAAATAATCATCTATCAGATCGTATAAATCATTTTCACTACGTAACGTCTCGTGTGGTGTTCCAATAATGTAATCCGTTGAAGGATGCTGGCAATACCGTATTTGTTAATGAGGACCCATAGATCGTGACAATTTGAATAGTTGTTAAATAAACATACTAGTCCAGCCATTTCTGCAGGGCTGTTTGGTGATATGTCCAGTATATGCCAAACATGTTCATTAATACTCTGAGAAAATGTTAGGAAATAGTGTTTCAATGTATTCATCCATCAATGCAAATCGTATATTCGGATTTGACCTGAACTTGCCTCGTATAAGCAATATCGAATACTACATCCTATTTCGAGGAATTTTAAGTAAGAACTGTTAGCACAAAAAGCATCAAGAATCCTGAAGGATCAGCTTATACTTACCAATCAGTCCATTCTCGGAATCTTTTGTCCAGTTTTTACTCGGAGTCAAAAATACCTCTTATCAAATCAAAAAATATGTATAAAAATGAGTGTATGTCAATAACCTAGTCGACAGAAATAAAAAAACAAACCTCTGTACACCTGCTCTTTAGTGGAATAAACTAACAACACTACTTCCTTATCGACATTTAAAAGTAGCTGCTCTTGAAGTATGGGGGCTTCGCTATCCTAAGAAAGATACAGCACACCTGAGCAAGATGAGTTGATCGTAGATGCGAGCTATTCTCCGGCATAAGTACGTACCAGCGGTATCCCATTAATTCCAACTATATAATCGAAAAATGATTCTATTCCTGCTTGCTGACTAGGAGAATTTTCTTGAACCTAGACATTTGATAGAATTCAATCTACTAAATCTACTTTCCGGACGCTTTTATTTAAGTTGCATTCGTACCCTTAATACATGATAACCATGTCCCTTGGCTGAACTTTGGGCTCCTCCCATTTATGAATGAAATTTTGCGAAGACGATATTAACGAAAACCGAGGATAACAAACACCAGACTGCATATATAAGTATTTGTTGTGTAGTTACACGGCGGCGATCGTCGGAGTTGTGATGTCGGTGTGATATGCGGCTTTATAACTTATAATTTTCACATAATTTAGACTCGGAAAATGTACATAAAGTTTAAAATTTATAAGTAAAAAAAAGAAATACATTTTTTTACACCTCTTATTTATAGACTACATGATTGTAGTGGAAAGATAAAAAATAATAACGAAATATTCCTATGATTTTTTGTCCGCTTTTTATTTTCAGAGAATTCTTGAATATTCAACATAAATATTAATTCTATTTACTATGATTCCAAACTGTCGTGTGGCGTGATATAATCCTATAGCATTTCACAGAAAACTTAAAATATATTACTAATAAAGAAGCATCGTGTTCTTTTTTTTTCTCTTTTGAATCAGGGTTCCTTCACAATCTCTACTGTTTCAGTGGTGATAGTTTCAACTATATTATCAGAACTTATGTTTTTTGTTTGAGTGAGAAGTTCCGTTTTTTCTGTCTCAACAGTCTCTACCGTTTCAACATGAGTTTCTTCATCAAATTGGTCTGACTCAGTCACCAAAACTTCTTCGTGGAATTCTTGTGATTCAGTTGGCGAAACTTCTTCGTGGAATTCGTGTGATTCAGCTGCCGAAACTTCTTCATGAGATTCATGTGATTCTGCTACCGATACCTCTCCGTGGGACTCGTGTGACTCAGCTGCCGAAACTTCACTATTATTTTCGTGCAATTCCTCCTTTTCATGATCTTCTTCTTCCTTAGTTTCCTGTTCGTGAAATTCAGTTTCAATTTTTTCATGAACTTCTGGTTCATTGTCTTTCTCAGAGTTCTTGTCCTCTTCCTTTTTTTCAGGATGATTTGATGTGGATTCCTTTTTATCTTGAGCTTTCTTTACTTGAGATTTTATGTCTTTGGGATCTTTCTTAGTCTGCTTGTGAGGCGGAACTTTGGTCACAGACTTTTTCTCAGGAACTGAAGAAGAGGTCGTTTTTGGAACTATTGGTTTAGTAGAGGTATTCCTAACGGTTGCCGTTTTCGTGATGGCTTTGGTTTTATCCGCGGATGTACTTTTCAAGTGTGTGCTTGTGGTAGCAGGCTTCGTTGTTGATTTGGTAACGGTAGTTGGATTTTTTGCTTTGGCCGCCGTGATGGTAGTAGTAGTAGTAGTAGTAGTTTTCGCAGGCTTCCTAGATGGAGATTTAGAACGAGCAGTTGATGAACTGGTGCCAACAGACAATTTACTCTTGTCAGTCTTGTCAACGGGCTTCTTATGCGTGGTGATAGTAGAAGTTTTAGGAGTGGCAGTAGAAGATTTATTTGTGACGGGGACTTTTTTATGCGTGATAAATGTAGATGAGGTGGCGGTCTTCTTTGTGATCTTTTTGGAACCAGAGGAACTAGCAGAAGAAGTGCTGGTGGTTTTTACTTCAGTGTCTGCGACTGCAATTGCGACTTCCTGCTCTTTATTCTCCTCGACATGAACTTCGGTTTCCACTGTTTTCTCAGCATCCTCTTCCTTGTGTTCTTCTTCAAGAATCAGGCTCTCAACCTCTTGATGAACTACTTCTTCCTTGGTAGCATCCTCTTCGGTTTTACCATTATCAATGGAAGTATTAACAACCAACTCCTCCTTTGTTTCATCCGTTTTAATAGTCTCCGTGGTGCCTGTGGTAATGCTTGTTGAAATGCTGGTTACCTCCACTTTGTTTTCGCCTTGTTTTTCTCCATGTTCAGTCACCGTACCATAATTATGAACTAATTTTCCAGGAACTGGACTGCGAGCTCGGTTTACGGGTTGACCTGACGCTTCGTCTGGGTTCTGCTCGAACTTATTAATAAGAGACGAAACCGTTTGAAGTTTACTGTGGTCGGGGATAACCATCTAAATAACGAAAAATTAAGTTTTAAACCAACTATACTTTGAGAAACAGGCTTCGGACGACGACGCGTACCTTTGACTCGTGAGTTTGAGAGTGTTATCAATTTGAACTCAAGTCAGTCCTGCGAGCAAAAAAAACTCTGCAAGGTTATCTGTCAGAAGTGGTCGTTAATTCAATAAAAAGCAAGTACGTACGTACATACGTTGGCGTGTGACTCAATAATCCGTTTTGTTAAAAAGATCAACATATCAAAAAAAATCGGTAAGATGACCAAATGTCACATTGTTGCATAATCGTAATACAATTATATGGGACACAATAACTTATAAAAACTGCAATCATATGCTTGAAAACAAAGAACACTTAAATTACGTGATTCCTTTCCCCTCTTAACTACGCTCGCGACATACGCTGTGCTTCTTATAATTTAGCGTACCTTGTAAAGTCTGGTACATTATTCTTCTTTACGAGCATAAACTAGTGAATTTATATGCAATAGCTTCTTCTTACATACACCTCTTTTTAACAATTCATGTCAAGCTACCTCTGTGAAGTTTCGTAAACATGGTTCTAATGACCATAGTTACCGCTTGTTTTAATTTAGTAAAGAATGTTCTACGAATTTTCATTTATTTTGTACTACCGCGACCCGCGATCGTTGATCCCCAGGCGAACCGTGCAAGAGATTCACGATTAACCGAGAAATTCATACAAAATTTCGAGGAAAAGTATGGTAACGTGCGACCGGATTTCTTCCGTGAAAGTTACTCACAGGTATGTTTAAACGATGAAAATTTTTCCTAATAATTATTATCTCTGAATGCACCCTCAGACTCGTGACTTTTAATAATCATTTATGAATCCGATCTGTTTATCTTCAATATCACTCCTTGATAGGCTTTGGAAAGGGCAAAGAATGACTATCGTTTTTTGATGGTGATATTGGAAGCTGACGAACACGATGACACTGCAAAATTCAACAAGTATACCCATAAACCTTTCATACTTATCATCATTTTTTACCTTTCGATTTACATAAACATTAACCATTCTTCCGATCTATCACCTGTTAGGGAAACTTTGACTTCCAATGATTTGATATCATACCTTCGCGATAATGAGATATTGGTATGGGCAGGAAACGTTAGAGATCCCGAAGCTTTCCAAGGTTGAATTGACTTTCCACCTTTTTCGTGCATTCTCAAGTTGTCTAAAATTTAAATTATGTTTATGTTTTTCAGCGAGTGTCACATTGCAAGCGACCACATTCCCATTTGTAGCCATAATCGTTCTTCAGGCTCCTCACGGTAGCCCGGGATCAAGCCCAAAGATGACGGTGGTTGATCGCATTGAAGGTATAGACATTATTATTATCCCTTTCGCTTAGGTGTTTTCAATAGATGACCTATCTGTTCACAAGTGTTGGTTATTGCATCCGCAAGGATTGTTAAGTTCCGATTTTCTCATAGCGAGGCTGACTATGCAAACCCATCGGTATGGCCCTGGTCTGCAAAGATTCCGCATGGATCGAGAGGAACGTGAAAGTGCGCGTCAAATTCGCGAACAGCAGGACTATGCCTATCTCGCCTCTTTGCAGGCTGATCAAGAAAAAGAGCGTAAAGCGCATGAAATAGCTGAATTAAAAAGACTAGAACAGGAGCGCGCTAGGAAAGAGGCAGAAGCGCGTCAGAGGTTTTTGGAAAATAGGGAAAAATGGAGAAGATGGTGTTTATCCAAGCTGCCAGACGAGCCTTCCCGTGATGAAAAAGATGTGACAAGGCTAAGTTTTAAACTGGCCAATGGTGAAAGGGTCGTCAGGAGATTCAGGGCAGATGATACCATTGAGGTTTAGCATTTATTTAGAACTCTCACATTGCTTGCAATATGATATTTTTGTATTAACCATAAATTTATTATTTACCTGTTGTCAGACGATATATATCTTTGTAGATACCTATCATTTGCGAGAAGCAGCAACTGCTTCTGTGGTGCCACAACCACCAAAAGACTATACTCATAAATATGACTTTCTACTTGTGTCACCATTCCCACGAACAGTATACTGTGCCGATGAATCTAAGACGATCAAGGAAGAGCGTAGTTTTTGGCCATCTGCCAATCTTATTGTGGAAGTAATGTCTGATGAAAATGAAGGAGATGATGACGAATGAAAAGTGTACTGAAATTGTGCATCTTCTTTCTTTAATCCATAAAAATTTACTGTAACAAAATTCATTATCATAATAGTACCTATTTGTAGTTCAGTACAAATGTAATAAATAAATGTAGTTAAATGTAGCATTTGAAGATTGCTGGCAAAAATCTTCTTACCGAAATTTAATACTGTGCATAGTAATTCATAACTCTATTTTAACATTCAGATAAATATATACTATTTAATAATATTATTATTAATTTAATTAAAAAATCAATTACTGTTTATGCCATACTGTAGTGCCTATGAATTTTCATCGAAAATTATTTGATCACTTGACTGTAAACTATAATATTTTAATATGAACTGAAAGACGTAGTTAAAAAGCATATAAGGATTTTTAATGTTAAAATATATGCAGTATATAGTATATTTATATTTAAAATAAAATCATTTTAAATAGATATACAATGAACCCTCTCTAAATTTACACTTCTTGGGACCATAGAAAAATTATGTGCATTTATAGAGGGTGTGCATTTATGGAGATAATTTTATTAAGAGTTCTATATACTTGGGACCAAGATTGACTGTGCATTTAGAGAAAAAAAATATAGTAAGTGTATTTATAGAAAGTGCATTTAGGGAGGTCTCTCTGTATATATAATTTCAAAAGATAATAATGATAGTGTTGTAGGGAAAAATGATAGGTAAATGATAGGAAATTATAAGGGTAAGTATATTAGGTATAAATGGTATATCAGGTATAAGTAGTATATCAGGTAT